AATACCAGTTGTAAAAAAATATTTCACTCTAATGGACAATTTCCTTGTAAAATAAAGTCAAACGTGAACAAAAAAAATCCAAAATTTCAAAAATTTTCCGGGTGGAAAATTATATAAATCAAACACACTTAATTAACAATTCCCTATAAAATAATTTCTAGTCAATTACTTTCTCTGAAATTCATTTTCTTTCCATCCATTTTTCACTATTGCAATCAAACGGACCCTTACATACAAAGAAACTGAAAAAAAAGGCATATATTCAAAGTAATCAAACTTGGGAAGAGGGAAAAGACTTGGGAATTGAGAGTTATAGTACTTCTTCACATATTGATGATCACTAAATGGCTTTTTCAATCACTTTTCATTTCTTGTTCATGTTGTATTTTCTTACACTTGAGAACATTCCAAACTTTAAGAGGAAGTCTAATCTGGACAAAACATGTGCTTTTCATATGCTTCCCTTCAAACCTTGTGTGTCATTTATATATATGTATATATAATAATTTTTTTGTGGGTCTTGCCTGTCTGGATACTAGGTGGGGTGGAGGTAACATATATTAGCTTATAAGTGAAAGGATTATAAGTTGTTTTCATGTTTTTTACTTTTTCTAGTCCATCTAAACGATGGGCTAGTTAGACACATATCGCAATTCACCAATTATTACGAATGAAATGTGTAACCGTGGAGTTCCAAATGAGGGTTCAAAATTCGACTAAACATATGTTGGCATGTTATCATTTATTAATATTCGACTTTATCCGCCGTCACACTAAAGTATGAATGCGTATAATTCTTGTTTAAAATAACAATTATTAACCCATCTACTTTGAATTAAAGTGTTTGCATCTAGTGAAGACAGCATAATGGTCCCATGCATATGTTCTTGCCCTTGTACCATTAATACAACATTAATTTGCTGCATCTTGACATATTATTGGCCACCCCCACTTAACAAATCTGTGTTGCATACGCAGCAGATCAAGAAAGAAAAGAGTATCACCAATACAAAAGTTTTCTTCAATCATTTTAACTTCCATCCCACCCACTGCATAATTATTAAAGTAGTCTAAACCTTTTAAAAGAAGTCAATTGGTCCTCGAATTTATATTATAGCTGCACAATCAATCCCGAATACATAGCGGTTCAAGATTATTAAATCATCACATACCCTCATATATCTAACTTCTCGAAGCTAGATTTTAGTGCTTAGTAAATTGAAATAAGACATGGTTTAATAAAGGCTACATGACAATTTAAAAAAAATAAAAATAAAAATAGACAGTTCCTTTTTGAGCAGGGGCGGAACCAAGTCCAATTTCTTATTTTATTTTTTCTTAGGGTTTTTTATAGTACAATTGCAATGAAAGGCGAAGATCAACTTCCACATTTTTATAGGTTTAGGAGCCAATTTGCTGTTTAAAAATAACTTGAGGACCAATAATGCAAAATTCTCGTATTTTGTATATGCTTTTCTTGGTTAAGAAGATGTTAGGGTCCGTTTGATTGCAATAGTGGAAAATAGGTGGAAAGAAAATGAATTTCAGGGAAAGTAATTGCCTATAAATTGTTTTGTAGGGAATTTGTAATTAAGTGTGTTTGATTGGTATAATTTTCCACCTGAAAATTTTTAAAATTTTGTATTCGTTTGACTTTGTTTTACATGGAAATTGTTCATTAAAATGATAATTTTTTCCACAATTGGTTATAAAATTTGTTTCCATTGCCAAAAATTAAAAAAAAAACAAAAAAAAAATTGTTTCCTAAAAAATCATTTTTTTAATCAAAGTTTAGTGTTCGTTNCCAAAAAAAATGAAAAATGGAAAACTAATTCCATTTTCCATGGAAAAACAACTCTATCAAACACACCCTTAGAGGAAGAGCAAATGCTCTCATGTTTGCCACGTGTCAAAAACCTATTTTCCATTTTCGGAGGTGGAAATACTATAATCGAGTGACCTATAATTTAATGAACATTTGAATGGTGTACGCCCTTAAAGTCTAAAAATTGATTGTGGAACTATAATGAAGGAGTAAGTAATGTACTTCCTTAAAGTCTAAAGGCTGATTGTACAAATATAATGAAGGGTTAGAGATCAACTTGCTATTAAGGTGATAAGTTAGGGACTAAAGATTAAAATTTTCCAATAAGATGTACACACAAGCATTTCCCTGAAGCAATTGGCAAAGCAGCAAAAATAGCAATGGAAGCCAGCGCTGACAACCGACAATTGCAGGTAACACCTGAGGATGAAAATTGGAGGATCACTGCCCAAGAATTTGTAAGCAGTGAACGGTCACGGCCGGTACTCAGTTAAAACATTTGTTGTGCACGTGTGTGATTGTGTGCGCGGAGGCATGCGACCGATGAAACAAAAAACTACGTAGGAAAGGAGGGTTAAGATTAGAATCTTTGGTAACATGCATACTTGAGACACAGAAGGAAAGGAGGGTTAAGATTTTTAGTGCACTTCGATTCTCTACACCTACTAGAGAGGTCAACGGTCATTCAAATGTATATTCATGTGAGTTCAGATCTCGACGTATAAAAGGTAGACGATTAAATTTTCATGGTCATAAGTGGTTTGATAATTTTGTCCTCCAATTTGAAGTTACTTTATGCCTGTCCACATTAATAGTTTTTGGCTTTCATTACAATCATCCTTATAATTTAAGTCAAAGTTAAAGGGCAACTCCCGTCATTGCACCAAATCCTCATTTTTCTCCATTTCACACCAAATATTTGATGTAATCTCACTCCGATCCAACACCAATTTTTGCACCAATATGGTTAATGTCCTCTTTGCCCTTCTTTTCCATTTGCACCAACTTTTGTTAATAGTATTGATGTCACTCTCTTGTTATACAAAAAATTTTAGTTCTTAATTAATCATTATTATTTAATAATTTCTTAGTTGTGATTTTTCTATCAATTGTACTACATCCATTAAATTTATTAATGAATTCAATATTTTTGTTAATGATATGTAATTATTTATTTAATAATTTATGTAGTAGTAAATTGAATAAACAAATATTTTTTTCATATGAATAAATTATCCAGAATGAAAAAAATAATTATACACTGTTCATTTGGTATAATGGATTGGAGATGATTTTTAGTTTGGCGTAAGATTTAATGTAAAATGGTACAAAACTTACCTTAAATTTTGAGGTAGGATTGGAGATGGCCTAAACGTATTCATTTATTATTCACACATTTTGTGGGATCTATTGCTCATCTTCATAATAATTCTGAATAAGCTCTCCATGCAAAAAAATCAATTAGTTATTAAATTTTAGCCATTGTTTGGTGTAGGTTAAAATACAATTCTTAGTAAATTTTAATGAAATATACAGTTGAGAAATTGTAGATCTCACGAAACATATGATTAAAATTCATTATTAACTTTAATTTAAATTCTTCATCAATTTTTAATACACCTAAAGACACAAAAGAACCTGATTTGATTTTTCATTGTCTTTGGAATCACTCACCTAACCCATGTCCCATTTAGCACAAAAAATAAATTGCATGCAATTATAAACGCTGACTCACCCATACTTCATCCTATCAAAACAATCCACGTGCCCTACTACCATACACATTCCATTATGTGGACAGCTGGGCCCCTCAGGTCCTCTAAAGCAAGAGCAAAATTTTAATAATTTACTGTACAATGAACGAAGCCTACTGTACAACTACTCAAAGATGATGTACAAGTACAGTAACTGTTACAATAGACAAATGTATATTTTCCGTCATTTAACGACGAGAGATTTGACGGCGTTACGTTGATATATAAATACCATAGCATAACACCCCGGTTCCTCTCTTGCTGTCTCTTTTGCCCTTTTTGTTTCCATATATATTAACTCACCCTCCCCACATCCCGCGTGGGCATGGCGTTTCTCTATAAATTCTAACGTGAAACCTGCAGCTAACATTTCGAAAATTTCCATTTGAAGCTCCTCTGCATCGGGGAAAAACCCAGATCGGCGCCGGAGGCTCACCGGCGTAAAATCTTCCGTCCACAAGATTTCACTTCTGTCATTGCAGCTGGATATATTTTCACTGCTTACAGACACTCGATTTTGATCATTTCTCGGCTTTTTTTTTAAAAATCATTTCTGGGATTTTTTTTTAGATTCTAAGAATCTGAAGAAATCCCAGAAATCAGTGGCATTTGAAGCAGTTCATTTTGAAATTGAGGTAAAATCACTTATTTGAGCTAAAATCTTTAGCGACTCGTGTATGTAATAACTTTTTTTTTTCCTACTCATTGATTGTGCATAAAGTTCTTCAATTTTTTATTTTTAGGCTAAGATTGTTAAGAAGTTAATATAAAGATAAATGAATTGAAGAAGGTGTCGGGTGGTATCTCAGGTAAGTCTCTATCCTCAGTTGTTATGAACACAGTACGGATTTTCTCTTTCATTCTTTTGTCCGAGTTTGCATTCATAAACTGCTTTCAAAACTCGACACTATCTGCATTCTTTAATTTATTTCTACTGCTATTTCCCATTCAATATTCATTCTTATCCCAGTCTGCAAAATTGTCGTTATTTCCTTTTAAACACAACACATTTATGAAAAACTGTACGCGTGTTAAAGCTTTTGATGAAAGAATGAATGGGGTATACATAAAATTCTTCAATTTTAATTTTTGGTTGGGCAGAAGAAGATAAAAAGAAAAAGAAAGAATTGCAAAGTACAGCAGCAGCTGTAGAAGATGTTGACATGTATTACGTGCTCAAAGCAAAGAATTGAAGGAGACGATGAAGGCTCGCGTGGGACTCCCAGTACAAAAGACGCCGTCAAAAGCCTGACTACACAGGTTCTAACCTACCCCACCTCCGCTAGAAAACCTGTATACAGCTGTATCTATAACCCCTCCTATTTATGCATAGCACTAGTACAGGATTTCTATTGGAATTTAGGTGCACATTTTATGGACAAAAATGTATTTTTATTGTTAATGTGATGAAAAATATGTGATTGAAAAAGAAGAAAAAGTTATTGATATAATAGAAAAATATTATTTTATTAAAGAATGTGTGGTTAAAAATAAGTAGAAGAATGAGAATAAAAAAATAATGTAGCTCAAACAGGTTTATATAAAAAGATTAAAATATGAGAATTGAAAAAAAAAATCTCGTAATGATTTGAGTGCAACTCCTCGAATATAAATGGTGCATAACGAAAAGTTATTAAGGTGCAATTTAGGCAATCAATTATGAAATGGTGCGATCTAATGGTTAAGATTAATTTTACCAAAAAATACAACTATTAAGAAGTAACACATAAAAATCTATAAACAAGCCCTTCATAATTCTATTTTCTTTACTCCAAATCAATTCTTAATAATTAATTTCTAATCCTTTCCTTCTCAAATTTATGTCAAAATAATTTTCAAATTATTTACCAGAAAATGCAACTGTTAGGAAGTAACACGAGAAAATATATAAATAAGATCCTCATAATTGCTCCAAATCAATTCTTAATATTAATTTCTAATTCTTTCCTTCTCAAATTTATGTCATAATAAATTTTAAATTATTTTTGAATTATGTGTTCGATATCTTCTGTTCTAGAAGAGTATGGTCATCGTTGGTTGGTCCATTTTAAATTAATATTGTGATATTTTAATTTTGGAAAAAAGTGTTGTATTTTGGGAGATAAACGTCCATTGGATCCTGTTAGAACCCTTGCAGGGGGCGGAATCCGTCTTAAGAAAATTTGCATTCGCATACCGCGCTTCATTTTATCTCCTTCATGTTTTTGTATTTTCTACGTTTGAGTAAGTCGTGATTTGTTCATTATTATGCACATACCACGATTTCGGTAATTCGTTACTCTATTTGTACTTTCATGTATTTTTGTTAACGAAGTATAATTTACACACTAATTTATCCAACAATTTCAGCTTTGCTTTTTCCTTTTTTTTTTTTTTGGGCCTTTCTCTGCCAGTTTCTTTTTTATTTTTAGTCAAGACAAATAAAGTATTTATACTACTCTTTCTTTTCCCATGTCCAATGGTGGGGGCCAATATTTACTTCACTTTTGCGGGACCCATATAAATTTTATTCTTATATTTAGGGTTTGGAAACTAGGTGGTTTTGTATAAGGCTTTTGTTTGGATTGGGACTCGGAAAAGAGTTGTTTGGGAAAAGGGGCGGAAATGTACATTTCCTCCTATTTTGCCTTTCCGATCCGTACATATTATCCTTGCTTTCTTGCCCTTCTAAGTAAACAAATTATCCTTGTCCTTGTTTACGTCCTAGGCAGGAACAATCAGCATTTATCGCAAATTTTACGTAGAGAAACTCGATTTTCCCTTCTCAATAAACAAACAATGTCAATTATCGGAAAATGTACAATTATTACCTGTTATTTTCTTTCTATCCTCTTTCTCAACAAACCAAACGCACCCTAAAGTATTGTTTGGGACCTAAATATGAATTTCTTTTCTCATGGGGAGGATAGGACCACATGTAAAGAAGGAAGGTATGCAAAACTTTTGAGTTGGGACACTGTTAGCAAAGACAAGGACTTAAAACTGTGGGGGGAGACATATTCTTGGATCATGTGTCCAAATCTTGGTCCCAACATGCTGGTCTTTAGTTTTTCCTTCTCTATCATTGATCACTTGTTTTTCTATGATTACATAGGAAGCGAAGAAAAGTTGGATACAATGCACAAATTTTCCTCTCAATGGGATTTTTTAATAGTTGAATAAACGGTGGGGGTTAGACGCGGACCCTTATCAGTAGTTTGCTAAAAAACTATGAAAAATATAAGTACAACGAGGCTAATAGCAAGGTTTTATGTATTTATGTATTTTTTCTTTTTTCAATTACCTCAACGAGCGAAAAAGAGAATCTTAATCATAATCTTTATCGACATATTTGTGTGTATTCTCCTATAGAAGAAAATGTACACGGTTGATCCTTTTCATCAAGTTCTCGTTATCTTCACATTGTGAAGCAGATTAAGGATATGGCATCGAAGGTTTCGGGAGCTTACAAACAATGCAAGCCCGGGACTGGAGATGGCAACTACAAGAAAGGGCCAAGAGCATATCCTGAATTCGATACTATTTCAGAGGGAATTCCGTACCCTTTTGTGCAGCCAGGAAGTTCAACTTCTGCTCCAGCTTGGGATTTTGCAAGCATTGGACATCATGCTGCTCGGCCGGACTCGAGATTTAATGGAGTGTTTAATGGTGACAGGATACCCGGTCGACAAGAATTTATCTCGGCCCAGTCTGGTGTTGTGCTTGTGCAAGATGAAGATGAACCAAAAGAATGGATGGCACAAGTGGAGCCTGGTGTTCAAATTACTTTTGTGTCTCTCCCTCGTGGTGGGAATGACCTTAAACAGATACGGTTCAGGTAACTACTGAACACATATCGTCCTTCTAACCATCATATCAGTATCTGAAAGATATACAACTGGATTGTTCTATTTGATAATTTCTATTGGGGTATTAATTTGATTCAATGTCATGCTAATGTCAACATCGAGTGTGAAGCCGGGAGATGTTCAATAAATGGCAAGCTCAGAGATGGTGGGGTGAGAATTATGATAGAATAATGGAGCTCTACAATGTTCAGAGATTCAACCAGCAAGCTCTCAACACTCCTGGAAGATCTGAGGACGGGGTAAATCACATTTGTTTTCCTGCATTGTGTTTTTATTGAGAGCGAGACTTAATTTTTTTGCGTAAGCTAATTGAAACTCTCGATTCCTATTGCTGCAGAGAGATTCTACTTATTCAAAGCTTGGTTCTGTCCTGGAAAGTCCTCGGATGACTCCATCATTGAACAGAGTGTGGAGTCCATCTCCAAGGTACAAACCTCCTGACCATCTCCAAGGTGCGGCCTATCAACATTGCAGTGCTGGATCAAGTGCTTACATGGCTTGTGGCCCTAAGGGTGAAATGTCGTCTATGGATGCGTCAAGAACAACCACTTCCTCACGAGACGAGGCTTCAGTTTCTGTAAGCAATGCAAGTGACATGGAATCAGAATGGATAGAACAGGATGAACCTGGGGTTCATATTACCATCAGACAACTGGCTGATGGCACTAGGGAACTCCGGCGTGTCAGATTTAGGTAATTAAGTTCTGCCTCTGTAAAAATTTCAGAAATGAACTCGATGAAAGTTTTTTACTGCTAATGAACATGCTAATTTGATGCAGCCGTGAAAGATTTGGCGAAGTGCATGCAAAGCTCTGGTGGGAAACTAACCGGGAGAGGATACAGACTCGATACCTTTGATACTTAGTATGTAATGGAATGCTGAAACTCCAGAGACATGGAACAGTTCTATTTTGCATCAGGGCTTGCAGAATGGAGATTCAACAAGATGATTCACCAGCACCGCGCTAAAACGACTAAGCCAAAATTTATCTGACTATAGGATTGTTAAGTTACAAGTATTCTGACTGATTTCTTTCTCCCATGCTCTTTTTTTTGATCATTAGTTGATTATAGTCCATACCATGATTTTGAAAATTCTTGTAAACCTTGTTTTCCCTTGTATCTTATCCTGGTCCTGTTCTGATGGAATCGTTTATCTCTCAGTTGACAGTTCTTGGTTTGTTTCTTTGTAATTAAAACTTTATGGGATGAAAAAAATTAAATCAAAGGCTTAAGATGGAATGGACAAGCACATGATCAATGAGTATGCTCCTCAATAGAGCAAGCTGCAGGCACAAATTTATGGATTTCTTCATAGAAGAGTTCCAATTTCTCTCATTCTCTCCCTCCCTTCTTCTCTATTTCCCCTCCTCTCTCTCTCTCTTCTCAATTGTTCCTGTTGCTTGCATATTGCATCATGCTAGTCAAGTTTTAGGCATATTCTTCTCTTTAATCATGTTCAGTCCAACGTATCAAACATGCTTTGAACGATTTTTAACTTGTGAATAGTTTGCATAGCTTAACTTGTCACATGGTCACCAAGGCCTGGGGGCTCACATTAAGAGATCAACATGTCAGTAATGTCCCAGGCTGGACCTCCCCGCCAATAAGCAGCTCGACCCATTTTTGACACCACTAGGTGAAGTAGACAATTAAACAAGGATATTCATGTGTATATATAATTCAGGAGAAATGTTACACGAACACCATCTATGACGCAACGATCTCCAATGTCAAAAGTATGCATGACGAAGATGAAGACAATGGACTCAAAAACAGTCTTTATTATATAATTTGTTGAGATCAACGCATCTCCAAAAAAATTTAGTACTCTCGAAAAAGTATTGAGACTTAATCTTCTCTATCACTTGAGATATTTCTAGAGTACTAAGTACTCCTAAAGTAAAATATAGATATTAAGACGTATTAGGTTTGGACCAAGTTCCACTGAGACACTCATTTCGTATCGCATGTACAAACTTGATAGCAAATTATTAAAGAGTAATGTTATTTATAATAGCATTGGTGTTAGAACATCAATTTATATGACATTAGTGCTACATAATATTATTCATTTTACATGTTTTAAAGTTAAATATTTACAAATTATATACTTTACACTTATTAAAAGTAAAATAATGCTATTTGTACAACTTTGTTGACAATTTATGTGTTTTCAAGATCCGGATCGTTGATTTTAAAAATGATTTTTAAAATAAACGGTGTAGATTTCTGTCAACATATGATTGTCAACAAAATTGTTAACCATAAGGTCCATAACTCTCTACTTGTCACATGGTTCTTAAAAGTAATGCACTCAATCACTCTAAAGTTGATAGGCAACTTCACACTTATTGAAAGTAACACAATCGACAGCTCTCAAGTTGATGTGCAAATTATATATTTTACTCTTCATTAAAAGTAACACACCCTCGATCACTCTGTAGTTGACAAGTTAGCTCACTTGGTCGGATTTTGTGATGTGACTTTCTTCTTAATCAAAATATTTAAAAATAAAAACATAACTTGAACTTCACGTTCACATCCTCTAAAATAGTTTCAATCAATATATTATGTATGCATACATGTTTGTGCACAAATTTGAATTATACGGAATAATATTATTTAACACTACTTGTTTTACAATATCATTAAATAAAATGCATAATTTTATATAATTGAACCTATTATTTTCACATAAACTGATGTTCCAACACTACCAATAATAGATAATATTATTATTCTCTTAAGATTATATGAATTCTGGTGTCAACTCATTGATATTAAATGGATGAAGGTATTTGTACATTCAAATATGTACATCTTGTTTGACACTCGTGTCAAAATTTAGCATTTTTTTGAAAAAGTATTGTTAAAATCAACTCACTGAAATGTCAAAGTATGTGTAAACAATGATGTACATACATACTCATATTAAATTCATAAAAAGAAGAGAAATATTATTTATCATCACTGAGGATGCATCCCCAATTTATGTGGCATTAAATGATAGCATTTTTCTAAAAAGAAAAAGAAGAAAGTCAACATTTGCCACTAAAAAGGTCAGAAATTTCCAAAAATTCCAGCAGCAACAATATAAATGAACCGGACCCACATATATTTGCTTTGTAAACAACCTACTGACCGGCAACAACAGGTAATAAAACGCCTCATTTGACCAGCTGAGTAAGTCACGTAACGCCTCCTCGGCTGACGACTGCTGTTCATACTAAAATCCCACCACAAAACATTTTCCCCCACCCTCTGGCGCTCTCCACACGCCTCTATTAGCGGCCGAGCTCCACCGCCTACTTTCCATTTTCCGTACATTCTCTTCCTCAACTCTCTTCATCACGCTTATGTTTCATTTCTCAAATTATATGCTCTTTTTTGTTATGATTATTCATGCTTGTTCTTTTCATGATTTTGATTTATTTAGCTAAAAAATACACTTGAGTATATGTTTAGTATTCAACGATTGAAATTAACTCAGCTTTATATTTTCTTTCAGGCATTGTTAGTTTTTAGTTACATTAGTTTATCTACCTGCATGTGTTTAACTGTTTATGAGTTCAGAAATCAATGATATCCAGTTGATTAAATGAAAATACCAATTTAAGAAAGTCATTAGAAAGTGGATTGATTGTCAATTAAATTACATTAGGGGGTTTACATCTACAATAAATTTGTGGGTGCTTCATTTTGATAGCTAAAGTTTAGATGTGCTTAATAAAATGGTGCTGATTGTGTAGGATAAGCATTAATTGTCTATGCTTCAGATATTAAAAATTCAGAATTTCCAAACTCGGTATTTGGCATGTGCTGGATTATGCTTTTTGTTGACATTAGCTTCATTTGGCTGTGTAGTGTTGGATTCTTTTTTAATATCCACTCTTCAAATTCAAAAGGTTACATTTGAAGTTTTGTGCTTGGATTTTGCTCGAGTTGTTTACGTTGAATGGGTACGTGTACGAGAATTGACACAATTGTAAACCCACGGATTTCTATTTTTGTCTCCATGTATACGAGCAACAAGACACCTGACTTGGATTTATGTGCGACAGCATGACGTAGATCCAAGTTATTGAAAGTGATTCTTGGTCCTTCTCATGAATCTTTGACTGAATGGTGTGTCTCCTACATATACAACAAGCAATATGACATCTACCTTCAACAATTGGTGGTGATGCAAATAGCCAAACAGGCAATAAATGCAATTACTCTGGGTCTAAAAGATTTCAAATTGCCACATTTAGGATTTATGCATGATCTAGTTTATGCCTGATAGTATTCGCGCATTTGGTGTGCAAATTTGGATTTACTGTTTAATAGCTACAATCAAATCTAAAAGATTTCCTTTGAATTTCTGCATGAGTTGTTTTGTTGGCTGATAAAGTTTTTGAATTTGATGAAGTAGTTTACGTGGCCGACGCTTTTCACTTCAGCTAGTTTTCCAACTTGAGGCAATAGTATGTTTTGCCTTCTTTCAGTTTACATGTCTTTTTTCACTAGTTCTCTCTAAAAGGTGCCCAGTCCTTTAGTTGACTTCAGCAATATGAGTTGCATATTGTTTCTTGCTTAAAGAATACAAAATTACAAACTAGTGAATCATAGCTCTTGATATTAGTATCCATTTTATTAGAAATGAGCAACAGGCAATCTAACTTTGATGAAGAAATGCTCTAGATAGCAATCGCTACATAATATTTGTTACAGTACCTTAACTATGGTCTAGTTCTCTTATATATGGCCTCAGCATTGTATAATTCTATTGAAATGTTTAATAATGTATCATGTTCTTGCCTGCAGATAAATAGCTCTCTCCAGGCAGAAAACACAATAGACTTTTTTTGTTCAAGCTACTGAACATGGAGAGATCTGATTGCCCCTTGAGCGAGCAGGATATTCATAAATGTCCTTTCTTGATGAACATCAACAAACCAACCAACTTTTCATTTGTATTTCCTGATTTTTCTCGCTCTGTAAGTTCCTAAATTTGAGCAGTTTCTAGTCCTCTATTCGTTTAAAAGACATTTGCATATGGATGCTAGGCCAATAGTGCTTAACTTTTTGTCTATTTTACCATTCTTTTTTCCTGGCTCTTTTATTTGTTCTGTATTCTTATTTTTGTATCCTTTACAATAGTTTAAGAACCTGCCTCTCTTCTCATACCATTGCAGTTAAGACGAAACAAAGGCCCCATATTTGAAGATGGCCCCAACTTTGATTTGGCCTTTAGACTTTTCCATGGGAAAGATGGGGTTGTCCCACTGTCAGGAAAATCTCAGCTTTGTGTAGACAACCTGAATGCTAGGGCTTCACCTCAATTCAATCCTTTAGCAGCCTCTATCAGTTCATCAGCATTTGGATCAGGAGGGCCCTTTGGTTTTCATACTTTCTTTGAGAAGATGATAAAAAGGAAATCCGAGTCATCAAGTAAGAAAGAACATCCTAAGGTAACATTATGACTTAACACATAATGCTTTTATCAGGACCGACAAAAATGTCTTAGGAAGTAATACAATTTTTTTTGCAGAGTTTCTGAAATATTTTTGAGCGATTCATTAATCCAGTAAAATGACTAGAAAGGTCAAGTTTGCTCCAATCAGTTGGATATTGGTTGTTTTGGAAATATATGGAGCCCATAATTGGAAACTGAAGTTACCTTCTTAGATGTCCAAATGATAATTATATCTATAATGTTTGCTGAGGATGCTGATCTTTGAGTTGATTCCTACCTTAATTGTGTACTTAAACCTAAAATCGTGTGCTGGTACTTTCGTATCTGGGCATAGAAAAAGAGCAATCTGTCATCTTTACATTATCATAATAATTATAATTTCTTCCATGGTTTTTGTGTTTGTAGCCGAGAGAAAGTTCATTACAATTAATTACTTCTCCACCTGTCTAGTTATACAATAAGTTGGGACTACTTATTGAGTGAACCTTATATGTTATCTTTCAGAGCGATTCGTTGAAGCATGAGGCTCTTGGAAATGAGTGGTTGGAGATCGGGAACTGTCCAATTGCCAAGTCCTACAGAGCTGTAAGCCATGTTCTCCCACTTGTGGCCTCAGCTCTTCAGCTGCCACCAGGAATGAAGATCAAATGCCCACCTGCAGTAGTTGCAGCTCGGGCAGCCCTCGCCCGAACTGCCTTTGTTAAGACCCTCAGGCCACAACCATTACCTGAAAAGATGCTTGTGATTTGTTTCTTAGGAATTGCAGCTAATATTCCATTGGGTGTTTGGAGAGAGCATACAACGAAGTTCTCCCTGTCATGGTTTGTTGCAGTGCATGCTGCAGTCCCCTTCATAGCTATGCTCAGGAAATCTGTTGTAATGCCCAAAACCGCTATGGCGTTAACCATTGCAGGTTCTATAATAGGACAGATCATTGGTTCAAGAGCTGAACGACTTCGACTGAAAGCCAATGCCAAGAGCGAAAAGCTTGTAGTGCAAGCAGAACCTACTGCTGCTGTCCAGGTTGATGGCTCACCTGTTGGTCATTATGGTAACCTGGGAATCCCGTGGGATCCCGTTACAGACAAGGCAGAAAAGCCGTCTCCTCCACCTCTGAGTATATGTTTATGAAGTAGCTGATGAGAATAAGTTATAGCAACCATATTGCAGGCGAATACTAAATAAAGTCGAGTTATTCGTAAGACCAGAAATGTATGTGAAAATATGTAAAATGATGTATGGGCACAGTACAGTGTGGTGACAAATTATGTTTCCAAATGAATCTTAATATTCCTGCTTAAACTGCGAGAAGCCTGTTTGCTCAACTACATAAATCTTTCATTGCTGAAAGCCACCGTGTCCTTGACAATTACAGCAGATCATGTTTGCTTAAGTATCTCTTGTAATGTATTATAAATGTTTGGAAAGGTGTGTTAACACACACACACACACACACACACATATATATATATATGTATGTATATGTAGAGAGAGAGAGAGAGAGAGAGAGAGAGAGAGAGAGAGATTGATGTGTTCATTTGGACATACATGAAAATCTACAATCTTTCTTCTATTTTCTTCTTCTTGCAACATTTAGTTTTTTTATTTCTTCAACACTATCCTTTGTTTACGAAATAATATAGAACTGGATAACGAAGACGTTCATATATTTTCTCATTCATATATGATTGTGGTAGTTAGTGCATAGACGCCAACAAATGTTTACTTTGATTCAATTGTATCTTGGAGACTTATTTTGAATCCCTTATGCACTCATTTGTAAGAGAGAAATGAAGTCTTCAGAAGAGTTATCCCTTCACCAACAGCTTTCACTGATCAATCTAGACAACTTTTTTCCTTGCATGACTCGATTAGTGCAGTCTCTTATTGGAACGAGAAGTTGGGAGTCGTACCCAAGTTAACGGTCAAAACTCACCTTAGATTCTTAGACAAACAATTTCTACCTTAGATTCCAACATGGAATTACGAACTATTACTTCTCTAGAATACGCATTTTTCACAGTTAAACTCTTCAAAATTGGGAGAAATTACAATTTTATTTTAACAAAACGAGTAGTGATCTCGTGAATTGTGTGAATAATAAGCCACCATTTGTCTATCATTTTCCAAAACACCTTTTTTTCCTTTAAAGTTCATTTTCAACAACACATTCTCACAATAAAATATTTTTCCCTATTTTTTAACTATATATTCTGAAAAAAAATCACTATTCCAAAATTCATTTTTTCCAAAAGACTCTTTTTTAATGGGCATCAAACAAGGGCGAAGTAAGGAATAGTAATTGTGATTGTACAGTACTACCTTCGTTCCCACAAAAATAGACTAGATTTCCTTTTTTGCTTGTACCAAATTAAGAGTCAATTTCCCTGTTGAGAATATAATTAATGTCTTAATTTTTTAATATACCTCTATTTAATGTATCTTAGTATCAACAAATATGAACAACTATTATTCAATGTAGGTGTACATTAGAAAAAATATACGTAAAATTTATAGTTCTAACATATACTAATTAAGTTTTCTTAATGTGTGTGAACAATCATATCTTTATGCTAGTAAAAATTAATGTTTCACTTTGACTTCAAATTATAATGTGATTAAATTGTCGCCCAAACAAGCACAGTGCATGTTTGATAAGTGATTTTAAAATTTAAGTGAATATAATATGTGATTATATGGTAGGAGGTACATACTTCCGCCTTTTTTTAACCCTCTCTTCTTCCTCGAGCACGTCTTCTAGTTTTGTGAAAAGCCTTTCGAGCAACTTTATTCGAGGACGACTGTGATAGAAGATGCTACTCTCAAACTTGACTTGAACCGCTTGCCATTGCTTGAGCACAAGAATTAATCGTTCTGACTTTGTCGTAGTTTGGACTAGTCCCAATGGTTCGGTACTTCTTTCAATACTATGAAACGAAGACCTAGTAAGCTTAGCCTCAACGCAGGTTTCACATTTATGATTTGAATCAATTTGAAACCTAGGCAAGTAGTTTAATTTGCTTAGT